CGATCCCAGGACGCTGGGATCGAGTCCCACATCGGGCTCCTTGCTCATCAGGGAGCCTGCTTCTCCCTCTGCCTCTGCCTGCCATTCTGTCTGCCTGTGCTTGCTCTCTCTCCCTCTCTCTCTGACAAATAAATAAATAAAATCTTTTAAAAAAAATGTCATTCAGAGCAGATTTTGATATGTGATACAGATCAGCTCCCATTACTGTGAAAGGAAAGAGACCATTCAGTTTATTTGTAGCTAAAATGATAATGGTTTTGTCACAGTAATTTATCAGGGCTTCCATTTTGTAAAATTTTCCAGCAGTATAAACATTTTAAGGGCAATAACTAGGTTCCTAGGATATAACATTTCTGGAAACTAACATTTTGGTGAAAATATGTTTGTTGGTTTTTAAAGTAAAGGCTTTATTAAGGTGTAATTTACATACCATGCCGTTCCCAACTTAAAGTTTATAGTTCAGTGGTTTTTAGTATATTCACAGAGTTGTGGGTCAATTTGTTTTTAGATCCACCTGGCTTGTTCCCAAAAGAATTGAAAGTGGCTAAGATATCTCACTGCTTCTGATTTTGAAAATATTTGCTAGTCTTGACTTGCCAGTGGCTATCTGAATCATAATGTCACCCATAGATGCTTTCAGTAACTTCAGAGGATTCAGCCTTTGTGGAGGAGAGTTGGAATGATAGTCCTCCTCACATGAACTTCCCAAACATGGATAACACTGAAAATACTACAGAATGGCCAAGATTGCCTGAAGTTGTTTAATTAGGAGTCCCACTGTGTATCAGCATGCTGAGTTTTGTAACTGTACAAAAACTTCTAAAACCCCTGCTTGAGAAGCCATGTAAACTTTCCTAGATGAGATAGCAGTTTAGGCCAATAGATTGTATATCTGTACTCTTCCTTTCCTACAATATTCCTTCATACCTACTGAAGCCTAGATTTTTTCTGGGAAAGTTCCTGTTTTATGTTCTGTGCCTCTTCCCCTTTACCATCAATCCTGGAAATTCTTACATTTTCATCTTGAAAGTACATTTTTGAGACTACTTTCAACATCTGAAAGCAGGACAGAAACCTCATGTCTGATCATGTGCCAGATTTGGGGTTTAGTAAGTACATTTGATTTACTCAAGTATCCTGTCATGCTTTTTCTATCTGTATTTCCTCCTGATGTCCCTAATAGTCTGTCTCCTGTAAATAATGGTTTGGGATGACTAGTCTCCTTGTAGGAGTGAAGTAGGGTATAAAGAAGTGATTAAACAAGTAAGCACGTTTTCAGGCAGGTTGAACAGGATGAGTAACAGAGAGGAGAGGTGGGAGCCAAGGGAAACCAAAGAAACTGTTGCAGGAAACAGAATAGGAAATCATTGTCTGGTAGACTGAGGCTCAGGCAGATGGTAAGGGAAGGAAGGGGACCAACTTGCGAGACAGGTCTCTATGATGGATGAGATATAGGGTGGGAAGGAGAGGGAACAGTGTAAGTTAACACCAGTAGCTCTAGCTTTGGAAACTGGAAGTTAATTCCCATTATACCATGAATTTTTGTGGACTATGGAACTTGTAAGCTACTCAGAAATACTTCAGACTGCTTGAGCAAAGAAGAAAGCTCATGACTTTCTTGAAATTTGTTACTGTCTCTTGAAGTGTGAATGTCTGGTATATTGCCCAGTGGCTAAAAGAGTACAAAGAGGTTTTAATTTTCATGAGGCCACCAGAAAAACATTTTAAATCTTCCTGGTGCTTTTAACTGTTCAAAGGAGGGAAACTCTGGAAAAGGGTCTGTGAATGGGGTTTCTGGGATTTAGCTACAACCTCCAAAGGGTTGGGGCAGGGTGGCGGGGGCACTATAGG